TGGCCATAAGTACAATAGCACTCTGCCCACCTGTGAGTCCCAGCAACCAGCATTATATTGTTTTTATTTTTATTTCCCACCATAAGTAAAATCAATTAAAACAGGTGCAATCAGAAGAATAGGGTGGGTTCCTAATATATACAGTGGTACCTCGGGTTAAGAACTTAATTCGTTCCGGAGGTTTGTTCTTAACCTGAAACTGTTCTTAACCTGAGGTACCACTTTAGCTAATGGGGCCTCCTGCTGCCGCCGCTGCACAATTTCTGTTCTCATCCTGAGGTAAAGTTCTTAACCTGAGGTACTATTTCTGGGTTAGCGGAGTCTGTAACCTGAAGATTCTGTAACCTGAAGCATCTGTAACCCGAGGTACCACTGTATTTATATTTGGCAGCTGTTAAAGGCCAGAGTAAAAAAAGTAATGCAAAATCCATACAATGAAGGTGCGAGATGGTCCTCTGTAGGGAGGGTGAAGTCACAATTGTTCTATAAAGTGTATCACTATCCTCCTACACACGGGCCTATTAGAAAGTTTTGGCATTGCTCTTCTTTTTTAAAAGGTGGTGCTTAGGCTCACTCAGCCCTGTCCTTCCTATCCCAAACACAACAAGCATTCAATGGAGTTTTCTCCCAGGTAAGTGGGATTAAGACTGCAGTTTAAGCGTATACCTGGGCGGTGAAAGAAAAATGATTCTCCTTTTGCCTTGCCTTTCCTTCTTGTGAGACATGGGCACCTTCTCCCAAATTTGATACAGAAGTAACTTGAAATGAATATAGTGATAATTTCTGTGGTTTGGATCCAGACTTAGTCAAGCTTAGAGTAGACCTGTTCAAAAGAGACTTTAGTTGGCCCCAAATCCCATCGATTTCAAGGGTCTTCTCTAAGCATGACTAAATTTTGATCTAACCCCATGACTTACTGACTGATTGCTTTATAATAATGTATAGTTGTACCTCGGAAGTTGAACGGAATCCATTCTGGAAGTCCATTTGACTTCCAAACCAAGGTGCGGCTTCCGATTGGCTGCAGGAAGCTCCTGCAGCCAATCAGAAGCCATGGAAGCCATGTCAGACTTTTGGGTTCCAAAGAACGTTCGCAAACTGGAACACTCACTTTCAGATTTACAGCATTCAGGAGCCAAAACGTTCGATTTGCAAGGCGTTTGGGATCCAAGGTATGACTTTATATCCCATTTTTTCTCCTTAAGCCGTTACCTGGGTGTGGCCACTGTTGCATTCTTACAACTTCTAGGTGCCACAGATGAGACCTGAGGTAGTCAAAGTACCCCAGAAGGAGCATGATGTGTCCCTCACCAGGGGCACTGCCCCTCTCCTCACACCCCATACACCCCATCACGTAGACAAATTTCATTGGCTATATGACTATTTCATGGTACAGCCCTGGCTGTGAGTGCCCAGAGAAATTTGGCTGGCCTTTGTTGAATACAGAATGCTGGACTAGACAGGTCTTGGCAATTCCTGTGGTGATGATCTGGCCAGTTGCAGATGCCGGGTGTTGAGGTGAAATGTTCTCCATGTTTGCGTGACATCTGATCCCAGTTTCTTACCCAGCCTGACCCTGACTGCTATCCTATTCATTCACAACGATATACGTTAGCAAAGTTTTGGCCCAAGCAATGAAGAGAGATTCAGTTGAATACATCTCGAGATTGGTTTTCTTCCCATCTAGCCGAACCTGCTGTGGGTTTTGAATTCATCATGTCAGCTAATCACTGAATCCACCAGTGGAAAATAAGTTTCTGATTCCGCCACTGCAACAGTGCACTCCAGAGCTGATTCCTGGGAGGTTTCACCCCCCCCCCTTCTATTCAACCACTGCATGTAGCAGTTTAGGGCTATTCCACCAAGGCATTAGAAGGTACTTACAGTCAGAAAGCATTAGTGAGAATTTCAGTCATGTTAATACTTGGCTGAGCCCTCTCTTATTAAATATGAATGAGGTAGATTAGTTCCATTAATGCTGAAATGGAGACTGCTATGGGGGCTGGTTGAGCCCAAAAGGCTTTAAAAAAACCCCTCAAAAAGACAGAGGAGAAAACATAATTTCCTTCCTCTGAGCAAAGCACATTATGAATTATTGCCATCATATTGATATCAACTGTGAATTTTCCTGTTTTCTCCGTATGATCATGGAAGGTGGATGATCAAACCCTGAACACAGGAAGCAAAGTCCGGTTTCATTGTCACCATTTTCCTTTTCATTAGAACTATGACATGAATGACTTTACCACAGACCTTCACACCCTAGCAGGTACATAAGAAAACATCCCTAATTTGACTGACAGCAATTTGACCATGCGTACACAACAACTAAGAATGTTGTTTCCAATTGAATGATTTGGATGGAGGCAGAAATGCTTCCTTAGTTATTTGGGAAGGTTTATATTACTAACACACATTGGCTTTCTAAGAACTCAAGAGGATCCAACTGGTTGCCTAAGAAGTTGGAACAAAATCAGAGTTAGATGCTTTAATCAGCATCAAACTCTGATTTTGTTTGCGGGCTTTCATTGTGGGGCATTGTTGCTGTTGGTTTTTTGCATCTCTATTTTAGAACTTGTGATTTATGCGGGAATTTTTCAGTTTGGTTGTGTATTTTTAAGTATTTTATTTATTGTCTATGACTACTTTTGTTATGTTGTAGTTATGTATTTTTTTCCATGTTGCAAGCTGCCTTGAGCATGGTTTGAACTGTGGAAAGGCATACAAATAAAATTATGTATACTGTACATGTATGCATGCAGACCCTCCAACGTTCCTCAGATGAAGATAGGGACATTTCTCACTCCCCCCCAATTGACCCTCCTCAATCCCCCATTTTTGTCCTCCTCCAAGGATCATTTCCTCCACCATTAAAGATTTCCATCACCACTACAGATTCCTGCATTGCAGGAGGTTGAACTAGATGTTCCTTGTGGTCCCTTCTGACTTTACAAATCTTTGATTCTATGACACACCAACAGGACACAGCACACACACCTTCTTCCATCCTGAGAAAATTCCTCCATCCCGATTTAATTTTACTTTAAATACACACCAATAAATGAATTTTAGAAAGGGGCAAGATTAGATGTGGATGCACAAAGCATTTTTTTTAATAATAAAAAATCAAGACGCCTTGTGCTCTACTCGGTTTCCCCTTTCTTCCTGCCCAGAGTGGCCCTGCCCTCTGCCTGCCCCTCAGAGCTGGGGCAACATGTGGAGTTGGGCCTTGGCAGCCTCTCCTCCTCCTTGCCCACTCTCCAGCAGCCTCTATGAGCTGCCTAAGGGAGAAGGCCAGCAGTGGCAGCCTTGGGAAGGCTATGGAGAGGCAATGAGATGCTCCCTTGCAGCTGTCATTGCTGCCACTACCACTCAGGACAAGGGCCAGCTCACCTTCCTCCCCAAGCAGCTTTAGCAGGGGAAATAGGGACATTCCAGAATGATGATGATGATGATGATGATGATGATAATTTATTTATTATTTATACCCCACCCATCAGGCTGGGTTTCCCCAGCCACTCTGGGCGGCTTCCAACCGAATATTAAAAACAATACAGCTTCAGACATTAAGAACTTCCCTAAACAGGGCCACTTTCAGTTGTCTTTTAAAAGTAAAATAGTTGTTTATTGTCTTGACATCTGCTGGGAAGGCATTCCACAGGGTGGGTGCCACTACCGAGAAGGCCCTCTGCCTGGTTCCCTGTAACCTCACTTCTCGCAGTGAGGGAACTGCCAGAAGGCCGTCGGCACTAGATCTCAGTGTCTGGGCAGAACAATGGGGGTGGAGACGCTCCTTCAGGTATACAGGACCAAGGCCATTTAGGGCTTTAAAGGTCAGCACCAACACTTTGAATTGTGCTCGGAAACATCAAATCAAATCAGAAGCCGTGGTGACTTTCGTCGTTCCAGACTGTCCCTGGAAAATAGGGACACTTGCAGGGTATGTGTGTATATTAGTCTTACTGGCTGGTTAGAACTAACAACAACCCTCTGATCTACACACATTGATGCTAAAATCTGTATTTATGCCTTGACTTAAGCATGCTAGCTGCTGAAAACCTTCTTTCGTCACCTCTTTATTTAATGGTCTGACCTAAGCATGTTCATTTCTAAAAAACCTGTGTTCATCAAATCCTTATTCAAAGATCTTACCCAAGCATAATCACTTCTGTGTCAAGAGTCACTTATGCTTATTTTCTGTACTAATGGCTTTTAGCAACGATTTTCCGCTAGGCCTTTTGTTACCCAAAGCATAATCTGTCAGCCACATATATTGTATGGATGTTTGCATGTTATTCTAGTCTTAGAAACCCTCTCCAATCCTTGCCACTCAGTCAGTCGTTGTTTCGTAGTATTAAAATGTAACAGTAAATGGATAAATCAGGAGAGGTTTTGCATAGCCTTAATCCAAAACTCTCCTGTTCTCTCAGCAGGTATGCAAAATCAGTGTGGGTAGGTAAGCTCTAATGCTGTTGCATTTTAATGCAACAATTATATAATGCTTTCTAGAATAAAAGACTTCTAATGTTTGGTGTTTACTGTACTTAATGTTTTAATTTGCGGAAAGCTGCCCAGGGAGTCTGGGGAAACCCAGTCAGATGGGCTGCATATAAATAATAAATTATTCTTATTCTTATTCTTACTATTATTCTTATTCTTATTACTAGATTTACAAGACAGTCTAAAGAATTCATAAATATCCCCCCTCAAAAAAAAAGCTACATAAAAATTAAAATCAGTAATTTTATATCTATATATATAAAATTTTATATCTATATATATGACTTTTTTCCAGGTGAACTCACAGGAGTTCCGGCAACTCTCAGGTGGATGCCATTGCCACTCTAAGAGAATGAGGGAGGTGTTCATAGTGAGTTCTGGCACCTCTTTTTCTAGGAAAAAAGCAATGTTTACTTATGCACTTAGGCAGGGGTGTAGGAATGGGAGGCAGGGGGGATGGGCCACCCCGGGTGCTCTCACTGAGGGGGATGACATTTGGCACTCCACCTGCCCACGACTCCCAAGCCTACCCCAAGCCGTCAGGTTAAGGGGGGGAGCTGCGCAGGTTTGCCAGCGGCATTCCTCCCTTCCCCCTTCGTTTTGACAGCTTGGGGGAGGCTTGGGAGTTGTGGGTGGGTGGTGTGCCGAATGTCCGCCATGGGCAGCTTGCTCCGCCCCTGTGACTTGCTCCGCCCCCATAGGTGGCTCTCTCCTGGTAGAATTCCTGCTCCATGACTGCAGTCATGGGATTGTCTTTCACATGACGGTATATGTTTTGACTCCACAAAGTGGGAAGTGACGGAGACAGGATGTTTGTGTTACTGTGTTCCGTGAAGTGGGACTATTGTCCTTTGTTCTTTTTCTCTTTGCTGTCTGATGCTAGAGAGAGAGGGAGACACGTTGCAGTGCTCCGTGTGTGTTTATATGTAAATAAAGTAGATTAGCCAAAATGCTGAGTTGCTGAGTTCTGTTACGCAAGCTGCAAAGACTCTGCAGATCCCTAAGTGTGCCGATGTCTGTTGGCATCGGTCGCTGTGATGTTCAGCCTGAAGAAAGCTTTTGAAGCTCCCGAACGATTGACCAGGAGGGAGGGAGGGAACATGCCAGTCGGGCATGTGTCTCTGCCAGGGTCCTACTCGAATGTAGGGCAAGCTCCTGACAGCTCCGTCCCCGGCTGCAGGGCATGTGCGCTGCTCCGGGCACCTGAGAGGCTATCCCGTGCCTGGGAGGACACCCTCTGTGCCACACTCCTCTCAGGAGCGCGCCTGCCCTAGGAAGCGCAGGCATATGCTCTGCCGCTGCACTTAGATTCCCTCCCATAGGGGCATCAGCACTGCTTCTGGCAGCCTATTGCTGAGGCTGTGCTTGACCATATGAGGTACTTGTGAAAACACCACTCTTATCTTCCATTGCGGGCCTGGCAGGGCTTTGGATTTTGTGCTTCCTCCACTCTGGAGCCTCCCTCAGACTCCCTCCCCACAGAACAGTTCATAAATTGAATTCAGGAGAGGTAGAAACCCAAGCAGATCACCATGAAACAGAAAAAAAGGAAAGCCTGCTTAGTTTTACAGCCTTGGATTGCAGTGTCTTAAACACGCAACACAAGCTATTAAACAAGGAGTTTGGAAACCTACAGAGCAGCTCCCAGGGATGTTATGAAACACATTTTTAAAAGAAGATTTACTTTTCCTGGCACATGAAAGAAGCGCTGGTTTGTTCAGGAAGCAGCTCCTCGGTGGCCTGTGATTACAATTCCAAACCACTGTGCTTAAGAAACCATTACATTTATACATTCCCTGTTGCATTTATATATACTATTCATTGCTGGCAGTTTGGAGTGTCTTTCTTGCCTTTATTTTGTATATAATTCTAAAGGTATTTTACAATTGATAGAAGGTAGTTTCTATGGTTACACAGTTTCCCTTGTAGTGTTTCTGCATATTTAGAGTGTTTGCCCAATATTGAGTGAGAAGCAGATTGATTGGCATGTAGTCATCAAATTTTTGCTAGGTTTTTTTTTATCCCCCACCTTACAAAAGCTATATTAATAATAATAATATGTATTTGAAGATTATCTAATTAGAAAAATGTTTGATGTTGCCTGTACAAAGTTTCTCTAAACTAGAATGTTGTAGAATTCCAATGAAATCAGAAACAGGAGTGGAGATTGCCAGTTTGGTTATTTGTCCCATGTTTGGAATGGAAATCAATTCAATGAATATGTGTAGGTGCTTTCAGTTCACAAACAATATGCAACTGATTACACATACACACACCCATTTGTGTTGTGTCTCCTTTGCAGAGTGTAATAATGCAGTGAGATGAATTGGGCAGGTAAGTGAGAGGTTAGGAATGGATCGGAGAGCTGGGAGATGGCTCAGAGTCTTGTTCTGCTGCTGATCTCAAGTTTCGAACAGCGGTTGAATTCAAACTCGGGACACAGTGCCATTTTGGGGGAGTGTTTTCTTTTTCTAGCAAACAGTTCTATTTTCCAACCCAGAGCCTGATTTTCAGGGGTGGGATTCACTCTGTCACTAGATTTTGTTCATTTCAAAGAAGTGCAACCACAAACTCAAGTCAGTAAGTTGCTCACCCTTGATGGGGTTGTAATCCCCTCCCCCGAAGGAGCAGCTGCATAGCCTGGTAAAAAGGTAAAGGGACCCCTGACCATTAGGTCCAGTCGCAGACGACTCTGGGGGTGTGGCGCTCATCTCGCTTTATTGGCCGAGGGAGCCGGTGTACAGCTTCCGGGTCATGTGGCCGGCATGACTAAGCCGCTTCTGGCAAACCAGAGCAGCGCACGGAAACGCCGTTTACCTTCCCGCTGGAGTGGTACCTATTTATCTACTTGCACTTTGATGTGCTTTCAAACTGCTAGGTTGGCAGGAGCAGGGACCGAGCAACGGGAGCTCAACCCGTTGCGGGGATTCGAACCACCGACCTTCTGATCGGCAAGTCCTAGGCTCTGTGGTTTAACCCACAGCACCACTCGTGTCCCTGCATAGCCTGGAGTAATCCTAAATCCAACTCTGTCACAGGAAGCTCAGGTGCCCTTCATGGCTATGAGTGCCTTTTTTCAGCTTTGGCTGTGGCCATTCCTGGACAGGGATAGGATGACCACAGTAGTCCATGCACTGGCGACCTTAAAAATGCATTACTGCAATGCTGCCGATGTGCTGCTACCTGTGGAATCATAGAATTGTAGAGTTGTATTCATTACTTGGTTGCAAAACTGCATTGCAAAATTTAGAGAAGTGGAAATTCTAAATGCTGGCTTGGACTACTGCAATGCGCTCTACGTGGGGCTACCTTTGAAGGTGACCCGGAAAGTACAGCTAATCCAGAATGCGGCAGCTAGACTGGTGACTGGGGGCAGCCGCCGAGACCCTATAACACTGGTCCTGAAAGACCTACATTGGCTCCCAGTACATTTCCGAGCACAACTCAAAGTGTTGGCGTTGACCTTTAAAGCCCTAAATGGCCTCGGCCCAGTATACCTGAAGGAGCGTCTCCATCCCCATGGTTCTGCCCGGACACTGAGGTCCAGCGCTGAGGGCCTTCTGGTGGTTCCCTCACTGTGAGAAGCAAAGCTACAGGGAACCAGGCAGAGGGCCTTCTTGGTACTGGCGCCCACCCTGTGGAATGCCCTCCCATCAGATGTCAAAGAGATAAACAACTACCAGACTTTTAGAAGACATCTGAAGGCATTCCACAGGGATGTTCAGGGAAGTTTTTAATGTGTGACATTTTAATGTATTTTTAATCTTTGTTGGAAGCCGCCCAGAGTGGCTGGGGAAGCCCAGCCAGATGGGCGGGGTACAAATAATAAATGATGATGATGATGATGTTTCATTCACCTATTGTTTTGTAAACTGCAAATTAGGTAGGCTAACTGTTAAGAGCATGGTGCTGATACAGTGGTACCTCGGGTTAAGAATTTAATTCGTTCCGGAGGTCCGTTCTTAACCTGAAACTGTTCTTAACCTGAGGTACCACTTTAGCTAATGGGGCCTCCCACTGCCGCCGCGCAATTTCTGTTCCCATCCTGAAGCACAGTTCTTAACCTGAGGTACTATTTCTGGGTTAGCGGAGTCTGTAACCTGAAGCGTCTGTAACCCGAAGTACCACTGTAATGGCAAGCTTGCAGGTTCAATCCTTGCATGGGACAGCTGCGTATTCCTGCCTTGCAGGGGTTTGGACTAGATGCTCCTCGGGGTCCCTTCCAACTCTACAATTCTATGATTCTATGAAATGTGAACTGAATCAACGCCCTCTCCCCTGTAATCCCAATACTGTGCTTTTCACTTCAAGCAAAATTAATGCATTAGGTGACAGGAAAGGAGAACCAGAAATGCTGATAGATTTTTACATACTTCATGTCACAGAGACATGCATCACTCATTCAGATCTGAATCGTGCTGTTTTGCCTATAAGACATCTTATAATAATCACTGCTTAATTCTGTGCATCTAGAGTGGTTGAATAAGTGCAGAAGGAGATTTTTGGGCTGTTCTTGATGGGATCTGTTGTGGGAAGAGGCTTCATTTCTCTCTGCTTACATTGTTGGGGAGCTGTCAACTATATATTACAGTAGTTTCTTGGTCACAATTTAATAATTGATGTTGAATAAAGTTGTCTAATACAAAATAGATAATGATAATGATAATAATAATAATAATAATAATAATAATAATAATAATAATAATAATTTTTTATTTATACCCTGCCCTCCCTGGGCTCAGGGTGGCTAACACTGAATATAAATACAGTAAAAAGAAAAAGAAAAAAGAAAAAAACAGTTGATTAAAATATAAGTTAGAATACAGTTTAAATACAGTCCCTACTTGCTAGATCAAGTGGTACACAAGATACTAAAAGTATGATGGGAACATTTAAGAGGCAGCTTGTGCCTCCTTTATCAGTTCTCTTGACTTACTAAGTACATGCCTCATGCCTCATAATCTGCATGGAACTATTGTCATCACTGCCTCTGAATTATAGTAACCACCGGATGAAAACCTACTGACTTCCAATGTTTCTTTTTCTTTTTCTGCAGAGGCACATTAAACTTCCTGTTATTTCATGTGGTCAATATTTAATGCCTTCAACAGCCCAGTCTGTTTTGCTGTATTGGCTCAAGGGTACATCTGGTTGAACACAAGACCTGTGGTCAATATTCCCATGAATAAGTAAGCTTGTGTGTGACTCAAACGCCGTGTGGCTACCTCACCTGACATGATCTTTGCTTGGGAAGAACCTCACAAAAGGGCAGAGCACCTGCCTACTGTCAAGGCAGATGATGTCCCCAAATTCTTTGACCTTTTTCGAGTGTGCACATGCTATGGATTATGCATGAAATACTTTGGAGAGTTTCCTAACAAACAATAGGAAACATTAACAGAAAAAAGTTCTACCTCCCACAATACTTGCTTGTTAGGGAAGTCTTCTTTAATCGTATACCTCAGTAACCAAGTCAGCTCAGAAATGAGTCCTATTGAATTCAGTGGGGTTTGCTCCCAGGTAAGTGGGGATTGTGGCCTTAGTATATAACAAAAACGTTCTAATTCTTTTTAATGTATATTGACTCAGACCAGTGGTCTGTAAAAAATAAGATTCCTGGAAAACTCTGAAGTCCTTTAAATC